TTGGAGGATAATTACTTTACAACATTGCAGTGGTTTTTGTCATACATTGAAATGAATTAGCCATGGATTTATATGTATTCCCCATCCCGGTCCCCCCTCCCACCTTCCTCTCCACTTGATCCCTCTGGGTCTTCCCAGTGCACCAGGCCCGAGCACTTGTCTCATACATCCAACCTGGGCTGGTGATCTGTTTCACCCTAGATAATATACATGTTGCAATGCTGTTCTCTCGAAACATCCCACCCTCGCCTTCTCCCACAGAGTCTATGACATATTTTTAATCAAGTTATTTCCATTAAAAAGTACTGATTTTAAAGACCAACGACTTAGAACAGCCACACAAAAAATGAATGGTCCACAAAATATTCTCCTTTCCTTCTGAAGGTTTATCATGCCCAATTACCATTAACTAGTCTTTCACTATTGAGCTTAAATGGCCAGTTGAGACAAAGAGTTCTGAGACCATTTTTCCACCACTGATTAAGATGGCAGGTATTGAGGATGTTGTTCATTTAGCCTTCTGAGCTTTCTGGGCAGACTTGGTGACCTTGCCAGCTCCAGTTGCCTTCTTGTCTACCACTTTGATGACACCCACAGGAACCGTCTGTCTCATGTTGTAAACAGCAAAATGGCTCAGAGGAGGATAGAGAAGCTCTCAACACACATGTGCTTGCCAGGAACCCTAGCAATGATGATAGCATCACCAGATTTCAAGCATTTGGGGCCATCTTCAGCTTTGTTCTAATTTTGTTCTTTTGATGTCTGCATAGTATTCCATTTTAACACTCAAGACTTTTAAGATTCTCTTCTACATTTTGTCTGGCTAAGGAGAAAAGGGTAGAGGTGTGAGAAACAGAACATAATATTGGGGATGGGGGAGAGGTATTCACATGCCTAAATGGATAGGAGAAGAGCAGAATTCTTGAATAGTTTTAAAATAGTGCCACTAAATTTAAAAATAGGGCCACTAAATTTTAGCAGATGTAGACATCAATCGAACCAGTACTTTTGGTTACTGCTTTGTGGAGTAAATAAAATAAAGTTTTAGGTCTAAGCCATAAGCCAGCTCTTCCCAACACTTCTGTAACCAGAAACCATGCTTAATTTACTAAGTCTTTTGAGGATTTAAATAGCACATGGATAGAGCAAAATAGTGGATGCTATTTCAACTTTCAAAAAGTTTGGCAAGCTTTTAAACTCAAGGCTGTTTTTAAAAAATTGAGTCACCATGGGATTGGGGAGCAGTGTTTACTCCTGGCTCCTTATCCAAGACTTGGAGGTAAGAAACAAAAAAATAGAGCTGAAAGGGCATTTTTCTGAATGGTAGAAAATAGACAGTAGGGCCACAAGGGATCAGCTATGGGACTAATTTGACTTAATATTTATAAATGATTTGGAAGGAGGAGTACAGGGCAAAGCCACTAAGTTGGCACATGTCTTTACACTATTCCGCTGAGGATAATAAACTTTGGAAGGACATTTGTTTTGTAGGAGTGGGCAGGCTTTGATAGGAACAAGTCCAGGGTCATGTTTCTAGGGACACGTTCCTAAAGTTCATTTTAGAACTGCTTATCTCTTTACCTGTGAATCAGATCTCTGCTTCAAGTATCAGCAGATATAAAGAAAAAGAAGATGGAGTTGGTGGTCATCAAGAGGGAGATGATATTTAAACAGACAGCATTATATACAAGCACACAAAAGGAGGCTAGTGGGGAGCTGATTCTCACCAGATATATAAACAAAGAATTTCCCTTAAAGAAATGCATTACATTTCTTTAACACAGCCCCCAAAGGCAATTGGTATGTGGTGGGTGATCTGTATATTCATTGGAGAAGGACATGGCAACCCACTCCAGTATTCTTGCCTGGAGAATCCCTTGAACAGAGGAGCCTGGCGGGCTACAGTCTATGGGGTCACAAAGAGTCGGGTGCAACTGAAATACTTCACACGCACACACACTGTGTATTCACTAACTTTTAATGTTAGGTAAGCTAAATATGTTAGGCTACCATTTTTTTTCCATTTATTTTTATTAGTTGGAGGCTAATTATTTTACAATATTGTAGTGGTTTTTGCCATACATTGACATGAATCAGCCATGGATTTACATGTGTTCCCCATTTCAATCCCCCCTCCCACCTCCCTCCCCATCCCATCCCTCTGGGTCTTCCCAGTGCACCAGCCCCGAGCACTTGTCTCATGCATCCAACCTGGCTACCATTTTAGAAGAAATGCATTCAAATGTTCTCTTCAATGTTCCCACAAGATATTTTCCTTCTCAGAAGATGACTTTTAATTATAAAAGTCAGACCTAGATTTCCTGACCTCCTGTGCTATCATGCATGGTAGCATCAAAGCATATCCTTAATATTGGCAGAAGTATTATACTATAAGGAAGCATCTACTAGATCAGTATCTTCTGAAGTTGTGAAATTTTCAGTAATAAAGAGATAATGAGGTCTGCCCTATCTCTTCACAGTGTGACTGAGAAGCTCAAATGAGCTGAGTGATACAAAACTGCTTTGTAAAATGCTGTGCAAAAATATAGTGGTGTTAATTATTCTTTGCATGTCATAATTTGGGATTAGAAGTACAAATTGATTAAATTCTAGGAACTTATCCTTAATAGATATTCATGAAATGTACAAAGATCACCATACAAGGATGTTCTTTGCAGCATTGTTTATATTAGCAAAATATTAGAAATACCTCACTTGTTTATCGGTAAGAGATTGGATAAATAATTTATGATCTAGCCATACAGAGGAATAAAAACAAAGCAGCTATTTATATTCTGACACAGAAATGTATTCAAGATACATGTTAAGTGATAAGCTGCAAATCAGCATAACTAGTACAATTCCAGTTTTGGTTAGACTTGCATGTTAGTATATGCCTGTGAAGGGCTTCCCATGTGGCTCAGTGGGTAAAGAATCTGCCTGCAATGCAGGAGATGAAGGCAGATGTGAGTTTGACTCTCATGTTGGTAAGATTCCCTGGAGGAGGGCGTGGCAACTCACTCCAGTATTCTTACCAGGAGAATAACATGGACAGAGGAGTCTGGCAGGCTACAGTCGATAGGGTCGCAAAGAATTGGACACGACTGAGCGGCTGAGCATGCACACATGCACGCATGCATGCACGCATATGCATGTGGAAACCTCTAGAAGGATATATATCAAACTTAAAGATGATTCTCTGTTGGAAGGATAAGATGATGCAAGAACTTTTGCTGTATGCTTTATGTCTGTATATTTTAATTGTCTTCAATGAGCACTGTTATTTTTGTAATTAAAAACATGAGTAAAAAATATGAATTTGCCCTTAATTCAACTGCCCTATTGTAATTTTTTTAAAGTGTATAAAGTAGTGGCAAAAGCCTTGCAAATTTTTCCATTTCTTTTTTTTTATATTAGTTTCAGGTATTCAACATCATGATTTATTATATGTATGTTTTGTGAAATGATCATCACAGTAAGTCTAGTTAACATCCATCACTGACAGAGTTATAGAGTTTTTTCCTTGTTTTTTTTTTTTTTAACATGTATTCCCCATCCCGGTCCCCCCTCCCACCTCCCTCTCCACCCAATCCCTCTGGGTCTTCCCAGTGCACCAGGCCCGAGCACTTGTCTCATGCACCCAACCTGGGCTGGTGATCTGTTTCACCCTAGATAATATACGTGTTTCGATGCTGTTCTCTTGAAACATCCCACCCTCGCCTTCTCCCAGAGTCCACAAGTCTGTTCTATACATAGGAGTCTCTTTTTCTGTTTTGCACATAGGGTTATCGTTACCATCTTCTAAATTCCATATATATGTGTTAGTATACTGTAATGGTCTTTATCTTTCTGGCTTACTTCGCTCTGTATAATGGGCTCCAGTTTCATCCATCTCATTAGAACTGATTCAAATGAATTCTTTTTAATGGCTGAGTAATATTCCATGGTGTATATGTAATTTCTTTAAGAAAATATTCCATTATCAGGATGAGGGAAAAGCAAAAAAAAAAAAGAGAGAGAGATCAAAACCTTTTCCCCCTTTGACAACAGTGTTCTGGTCTTTCTACATGGGAAAAGATAAAGGAGAAAATGAAATCTGTTTCTTGTTTTTGTTTTGTGTTTGCCTTGTTTTGAAAGATGAGTAAATGTACAGAGATCTGGAACCATGAAGCCAGCAAAGAAACCACCTCAGTAGTGAATTACTGTTCCAGTCGAAGTTGACAAAGCCCCACACTGAAAGACAGCATTGCCCAGGATTGTAAATATCCCCCATTCTCATGCTGGTGAGGATGTCCATAGATAGCTTGAAACTTCAATCTTGAAGCAAAAACCTATGTCTTATCCTGGGGGACCACGTTAAAACCTTCCCTTGAGCTGCTGGTCTGCCTCCCTGTGGAGAACAGAGATGGAAGCTGGCAGGCATAATTTATGCTGCAAATGGGTTGGGAAAGCCTTGTCAGGAGGAGCCGGGCTGCCCAGACCTGCAGGAAATGATGGGAGGAGGAAGTGGAGAAGGAGGAAGAAATGAAGAACATGCAAGAGTCTTTATCTTTCACATGAATAGAAAGCACACTCAGAATTAATGACCCTGATGTGTGCTTATCCTTCAGATGAATAGAAAGCACACTCAGAATTAATGACCCTGATGTGTGCTTCCCTGGCCAAGACCTAGCCACCTGCCTTAGTGCTCTTCTGAACTCTACACTAGACGGAGGGCAAAATAAGGGCAGAGACCTTGTCTCTGTCTTGTTCATTGCTGTATCCCCAACACCGAGGAAAAAAGAAACAGTGAATTCATACTTGTTGACTTTTGGATGAATGTTCTCCTATACAAGTAGACTCTATCTGGAGTAGTCTATCTTGGTACCACGCAGTCCTCCCACGGGGTGGAAGGCTAAAGGCAGCTTGTAGTCAGCTCGATCATGTGCCAAACACAGTCAACTTGCGCTTTGCTTGGAACTCTCTTGTGACAAACCTTTTCTTTACCTTCATATTTCCAGATACAGCCAAAAGGCAGCGAGGAATGGAATGAAAAATCAGTTCAACCTCCATGAGCTGAAAATGAAGGGCCCTGAGCCAGTGGTCAGTCAGATTATTGACAAACTGAAGCACATTAACCAGGTATGTGTGTAACCAGCAAAAACAGAAATGGCAAAAAATTGAGCGACGGGTGATGTTGAGTGTTCAAACTGTATTCTTGGGCTTTGGGAAAGGCAGCCATGTTCATGTTCTTCAGAGTCTCTCTGCTAAAAAGGACTTCTGATCTTTGTTTTTCACCCCACTTTTAAGTTATAAAGAAAATATTGCAACATAAGAGAAAGCTTGGAAAACAGCAGGAAAAGTGTTTGTCTCAACCCCACTAGTCCATCCTGTTTTCATTTTTACGTATTCTTTTTTAATATTTGATCAGAAAATCACACATAGACTTTTTACATAATTGGAAGTATATTAGTTATTTCTGCATCTTAAAATTAACACTGTATTGGAAACACTTTTTCATGTTGCCACAAATCTGCATACTAATCATCTTTTGTGGCCCCGAAAGAGTCCTTTGAGTGTTAATTATAATTCATTTGCTTTTGCTATGGATTCAAATTGCTTCACATTTTTACCATTAAATAAAGTGACCTCCTGCATAGTGCTATCTCCTGATCTTAGATCAATTTCTTAACATACTGGAGTTATGGGGTTAAAGGATATGAGCATTTTACTGCATGTTTCCAAACTGCTGTCCAATGGGGATGTGACAGCTTTCACTGCCACCAGCAAGATACGAGAGGACCAGCTTCACTGCGCTCATGCCAACTTCTGAGTCACCGCCATCCGTGCACAGAGCACCCACAGATTCCCCTGACTTGCACACAGTTTTTCTTCTCAGGAGTTTAGTAACTGAGACACAAATAGAAGTTAGTTGTACCATCTGCTTGTGATTGCTTTGTGGCCACAGTTTTAAAAATGCCATAAAAAATGCCACCAGATACCAGAGTGGCAGTGTTCCTACCCTATGGTCCATGGGTGGGAGGGCCCTGGCACCACTGACTTCTATTCGTAGCTGAGGAAGGACTTAATGAAATTCAACTCCTTCTGCAAGGACAGAAGTTTCTGTAGGATGACATTGGCATGATTTTGTCTTTTCCTGTGAAGTTTAGCAGTGAAATCTTTATGGTTTTTAGGAAAAATGTTTGGAAGGGCTTCCTAATAGTGACGTATTTCATGGCGAGTGGCATTATGAAAGTATTTATTACACTTTTGAGTGAGATTCCTCCAGAGCCTAATAAAGTGCTCTGCTCTCTATGAGCACTTATTAAATAGTTGTTACTGCTTCTGAGCACAGAATAGTGGCAGTATTTGTATAACAGATCCTTCTTTTTGGTGAACTCACAACCTTACTAAGTTCTATAAAGCCTGGTTACATACAGGATGTTTCTTTTTTTTTTTTTAATTTTTAAAAAAATTTTTTTTCCATTTATTTTTATTAGTTGGAGGCTAATTACTTTACATCATTGCAGTGGTTTTTGTCATACATTGAAATGAATCAGCCATGGATTTACATGTATTCCCCATCCCGGTCCCCCCTCCCACCTCCCTCTCCACCCGATCCCTCTGGGTCTTCCCAGTGCACCAGGCCCGAGCACTTGTCTCATGCACGCAACCTGGGCTGGTGATCTGTTTCACCCTAGATAATATACATGTTTTGATGCTGTTTCAAAACACATCTCTGAAGAATTCAGAGCACAGCGTAAATCTCCCATTACTGATGATGTGCTTTACCTGGGGACAATGGCAGTGTTTCTTTGAATTATTTCTAAATTATCTCAAACCAAATGTGTCTGGGTGACTCTACTCGACTGGTTGGATCCAAGCACTGGTGAGGCCAGAAACTCAGGGTCCATCTCTGTGCCCCTCATTTTAAATGAAGAATGGTGTCAACAGATATCTTTGGTCACCAGACGTGAAAGAATACCTCCTATGTGCTCAGCCAGGTGCCAGGGAGTTTGAGGATTCAAAAGGAGTCTGGCCTATTTTCATACCTTCCTTGGAGGAGAAACACAAGCATGTTTCAATACAAAGAAAAGGCAGCCAGTAATGAAGACGAGCTAGACAGTTATGTTGCTCATCAGTTTGGGGCTGGTTTGCTTAGGCCTGAGGTGGGCTGGGCTACTGTGAGAAGGGTTTCGTAAGAAATATCAGAGAAAGAGCTGTGGATGGAGCCCCACCCTGTAAAAAGGGAAAGCTGCATCAGAGCATATGATCTGGCAGTCACTAAAAGTGACTATTTATAGCAAGCCCCTCAGTAAAGACTTTGGGTGTTTGATATTAATGCTCTGGGAGACCATGTCATGTAGTGAATAGAACATGGGCTTTGAATCCATATGGATCGCAATTCAACTGTGAGTCTTAATAGATATATAACTTTGGGCAAGTCATTCAACCTCTCTGAGCTTTAGTTTTCTCATCTGTAGTATTTAGAGTTAGCAAAATAGTCCCTTACAAGTTTATTATGAGTACAAGAAATTATATCTATGTATCTATGGCTATTCATATCCCATTATATAAAATTTCTGTATAATTATGCATTTTACATATATGCATATATATATACACACATATACACACAAATATGTAATTGCATGCGCATGACACAGTTAAGGTGATTATTATAGTCAGGATTTCCTCTGTAGTCAGGACTTGAGTGAGTCTGAAAGAGAGCAGTATTCCAATGCTTTTTCCCAGTCTAATTCTGCCACCCAAATTTTGGGTGGATCAAAGAGATCCCTTTGATACATCTTTCTCTCCCATGTTGTTTCCTTCTTTCTCATCATTCTAACTTTCAGCCACAAAAGGTGAAGCCTCTTCATAGGTAGGAAGGTGTATATTGTCAGTGTCGGAAAAGTCACCATTATAAGTACTTTCTCCTACCTTTGCCATGGACATGTGTGTGGACATTTTTGGTTCCCTTATAAATACCATTGAGCAACCAATTAATTCTCATTGATAGACCAGTCTTACCTGTTTAAGTTGAGCTGTTAAAATTGGTTGGGCTCCAAACACCCACGCTGGTTTTTTCTTGTCTCATCTGTATTGCTTTACATGGCCAAAACATATCTTCTTTCAGACCTTCAGTAAAATTCATATTTTGGCCATGGTTCAATCTGAAAGTGAGACACTTTAGGAAAGTCATAATGAAGAATGGGATGATGATGATAATGTGTTGTATTTGTATAGCATTGAACCATATTTCAAAGTGCTTTTATGTCCTGAAATTCTAACTGCTCATATTGGAAAAAAAATATCCAGTCTGGAATTGTATGAGATATAGTACTGTCAAAGAATCATTCTTTTCAGGAACTCATTGTTACCCTTGGGTATTATTTCATCCTCACTGCCTCCTGGGAGGTAAGTGATAATGTTTGTCCCTTTTTTATAGCTAGGGAAACTGAGGCAGAAAGCCATTAAGGGCTGTGTGGGCATGCTGCCAAAACATCCAGTAAGTTCAGTTGAAAATTCGACCAATCATCCAGATGTTGTTTCCTATTCACTGCCAAACATCTGGATTCACTGAATGCCTGGCTCCGTTGACCTAAAGTTTTAGTGATGAGGAGGTAGAATCACGTTAACTTGCCTCAGTTCACATGTAAGTGAGTGGAGAATCCAGGAGTATAATGTTATTTTCCTAAGCTCCTCGCTTGGTGCTGCAACTATTAAACTGCAGTAGGATGTCCCAACACATGCAACTGTAAGCACAGAGCTGCTTCTGTCTATGCATGCATGGCCATGTATGTCCATCCAGGTGGACTGTGGCTAGGCCATTTATGAGCACATCCCCAAAGACCTCTTCACTTTCTTCCATGGAAATTCTCAGCTGCCTCCTTTCAAGTTATGGTTGCTGTTGATAGGATTTGAAATAATATATTCACTGAGGGAATAATGTAACATTATTTCCGTATTGACAGTACCACGATGTAACCTGGAGGGGACGTGTTCAGGGTCAGGCCCGGGGCCCCTTTCCTGGGAAGGCCTGCAGGTGTGGAATGTCCTCCCCTCCTCCTTCCAAACCAGAGTTCTTATGTAACATTCCCACGAATGGAAATGAGGACCCTTTTATTTCCTTCTCAGTTTCTAATTTGTGTGTGAGGATTTATTGTCTTGTGTTAGGAGAGGAATTGAACTCTTAAGTCCTCAGTGTCAGTCCTGGACTTTGCTGGGCCATGTTGCTTTAAAAAAAAATTGTGTTTTTCTTAATATCCTGCTCAAGCCTCCTGCATGGAGAGAAGACCCCACAAATACCAAGAATGATCATGATACACTCTTACCCACAGGCCACTGTGGCCTATGTGTCCTCTGACTCAGTTTGTTGGTAACAGTTTCTCTCTAAGAGTCGCTGTGTAGTTAGAGACCTTAAACTACTACAGAAGCTATTGTTTCCAAGAAAAACCTAGCTGTTTATTATTTTCCCTCAGTTTCAGTTCGGGTTCAAATGAAATTCCAGAAATTGTTTTCCTGCCTGTTGGAAACAGTTGAAGCCAGAGCAGTCAATACCTGCTCATTTGGTGTCAGAGCTTTTCATTCAAAGTTGGATACTCTCATCTGTTTGGGATGGTTGAAATGTCCTGCTGAATGGTGGGGGTGTGGACGAGGTGGCCTCTTAAGATTCCTTCCAGCCGTGTGATTAAGTGATTTGTGGCTCAAGGTCAGGCTTTAACCCAGCACCCTCTTGTGAACAAGTCTTGTGACTTTATTCTCTGCCCTGCCACTCTTTTTTAAACACTCTGTTCCCAAGTCACCCCTTTCTACTTTGTAACCTCTCATCTTTTCAGAGATTCCTCCCTTCCCACCAGTCTTCCAGCCTGGGCAGATGGAACTTAAACTTGCCCTTCCCCCTACCCAATTCTTCTGTTCTCCTGCCTTGTTCTCATGAGGCCATGAAAACATTAAACTACAAAAACACTTTTGCATTTATCACCCTCCTCCAGAACCATATAGGTGATCTGTCTTCAGATCTTGTTAGCCATGTGACTCCATATGAATGATAATAATTCTACCATCAATTTGCACAGCACAATTCAATTTGTAAAGCTCTTTCATGAACATTACCTAAATTCATCTTCACAATGACTCAG